ATTGTCATTTGTAACAATGTCAATTAAATTTAATTGTGTAATAATTTAATTGCAATTTAATTTTCGGTAGGCCTGGTGCATACCCTGCTAACACACATCTGTTATCATGAAATGCAAAGCATATGACTTATAATATATAGCATTATTACAGGTCAAAATTAAACATTTGACATGTTAAATAATGCATTTCTGCCATTCGATTTTCTTTGCAAGATAATTTACACATGATTTTAAACATGCATGTTCGCAAAAATATATGTTAAATTGCAGGGTCAAATAGCAAGTTTTGAATAGCATTTGAATTTTGCTATTTAGCACTGACTCTTTTAGTTTTGATCAATGTTTATAATCACAAATATTAATTATTATCGTTTTTTTTAAATAATATGTAATATATATCTATTTACGATACAAACCTTTAGCAAATTGTGTCTAAATGAATACGATTCGTTTGAGAAAACTTCCTACAATGTTAATTAAAGTAAAACACTCTTAATAAATTTACTTCTTTAAATTTATATTATCCATTAAGACTAAGCTTTGTAAACAACTGTGATTTATAAATCAATCATTAAACCATTCCTCTTAGTATTACTTTAGTCAATAAGCATAATTTTTATTAATCTACCATTACTCCATACCTTTATCAAATTTTATCTTTATTTACAGTAAGTAGTTATAATTGGTTATTGAAAATAATCTATTCAAACTCATGTTTATACCTCTTCAAGAAAAATATGAATAGAGCATTTTTGCTTTTTAATAGTTTATTGCAACAGTACATGGGTCAGACCTAGCATAATATTTGTTTCCGTCTATCACGGAAAATCATTTTATTCCTTTATTCCATTTTGCAGAGTACACAGCACCAACCCACCTCTGTTAATAAATTTTATTTCAGTTAAGGAATTCATTCAGGAAATTGGATATAAGACGACGAAAGTCGTACCTGTTGAATAAACCTGTCGATTTGCAAATTTTCACTGGTCCAGTTAGAAAACTCATTTATTAACACTTTATGAAGACAACAATTGCATATATATGTGAGCTCTACAAACATATATTCTAGCGTTTAAGGATCTTGGGTAATTCCATATAAATAAAACAATCAGATCAATCTTAAAACTGCTTTTCTATAAGTAAAGACTGTTTCATAAATTTCTTTAGAACAATTACACATGGATCTGATTGAATAATTAGTGCTTATGATTAGAATTTGTAATCTTTTCCTTGTATCCATTTTACAACAATTACTGCACCAAATTCGCCTCTATATTTTATTTTGTGAAAAGATTATATGGAATCCATTCGGGATATTGAATATATGATAACTGTTGTGCACTTTGAATAAATTAATCATTTAATAAATTTCCACCCAACTAATTAGCAAATCCCCTTTCTAATACTTTATGAAAACTATCATTAAAAATTATCAGGGCTTCTGCATCACATTTAATTATTTTTCTATTTACGATTATTTCAAATCTTTTTCACATCGACGTACTGTGTTTGAGCACTGTTCGGTTCTTCTAAAAGATTACGAACATGGTCCAATTTCAAAGCGGAATTTTGGGAAATTTTAGCGTTAGAAAAATTTTGGTGTGCAATTTTATTCTTATTGATAGACTCGGTGCTACTATACGTACGTACGGACGTTGTCTAACAGAGTAGTACAGTACAGCATTTACGAGTAATATGTACCAACTCAAAGGAGGTTTAGTATGGAAATAAATTACATGCGTACATGAAGATAAAAATTTAAAGTTAGGACGTTAGTTTAGGAAGATGTAGGAATAAACTTTCCTATTGTTCCCAACATTTTTAATAATTAACGTTGTACAGATTTTCCCTTTCTATTATCATACGTAATAATATGACATACGACATTCTTAACCTGTTGAATACATCAAATGTGAAGTCTCCGGTAACAAAGGATATTATATATATATATATATATATATATATATTTATATATTTATGAGTTACCGAATAATACATAAAACTAAGCAAATTAAGTTAAAAAAATTACTTTCTTACGAAGGTCTAATGATAAAATAGCTACTAAGTTTTGAAAAAATTTTCAAGCCATTTAAGCGATCTTTTATAAATGGTGACGAATATAATGTTATTACTGAAGCCGAACGATAAAATGTTTAAAACACATTCCATTATCCTAAAAATAAATTTAGTGCAACTTCCTATGAAAATGGTGTTAAAACAATTTAAATAACCAAACAAATCCTATTGTTCAAACCAATCCTATAATTCAAAATATTCTTGCATATTGCTATCAATATGGAAGATGGATTAAAAAAGATAATCACAAAGCATTCATTCATTATAAAAAATCAGCAGAGATGGGGAATTCTATTGGAATAAACAATCTTGGATTTTGTTATGAACATGGAATCGGGTTGAAAAAGACCATCATAAAGCATTTATATACTATCAAAAATCAGCAGATATGGAAGATTCTTATGGAATTAATTCTCTCGGTGGTTGTTATCAAAAGGGAATTGGTGTTGAAAAGGATGAACATAAAGCATTTATTTATTATAAAAAATCTGCTTTTCGTCGTAGAATATTTATTTATTATAAAAAATCTGCTTTTCGTCGTAGAATATATATTGAAATAAACAATCTTAAACGTGGTTACAAAAATGGTAATTCTAGTGGATTAAACTATCTTGGATTTTGTTACGAAAATGGAATTGGAGTTAAAAAGAATGAACATAAGGCATTCATTTGTTATCAAAAATCTGCTGACATGGGTAATTCTAGTGGAATGAAAAATGTTGGATTTTGTTACGAAAAAGGAATTGGTGTTGAAAGGATGAACTTAAGGCATTCATTCATTATCAAAAATCTGCCGATATGAACGATTCTGG